CCTTGGACATGTGTTCAATACCCTTGAGCCCAGGGCCTTCAGCTCAGGGACTGCCTGTGTTTTCACATGAAGTCAGTGAGTCAGTAGCAGTGATAACCCTGGCAGTTGCAGACTTTTGTTTTGGTCTAAGTGTGCCAGAACATTGTTTTTCGGCCAAGTCAACACTTTAGTGAAACTAAAGTAGTTTGACACTTTTTCTGACAAATGGCAGATGAAGCCATGTGGAACACATCGAGGAAGGGGGTGTGGGAGGTGTCCCTGTTAGCACAAAATCATGGCTTTACTACTGCTTACCTCTTCTGAGTGTGAGTATCCAAATTCGATGAATACACTGCCCAGTCAAGCTTCATGATGATCTCTTTTTAGTGTTGTGTTACACTGAGAACTGGCTTCCAGGTTACTGTTGCTTACCTCCGGGTTCTGGCACCCTCAGGAAGAACTCCATGGCTCTCAAAGTCCCTCAGACTCACAGTTACTTTATGCCTTGCAAACAAATTTATCCAAGCAAAGCAGTGAAAATCCCAAAGGGAAAGCTGTTTGACTTGCACTGCTAGATTGACAAACTAAGCTAAAGCCAAAGTATAATTGGATTAAACCACTTCTAATGTGTCTATTCAGGGCTGCACAGCAGTTCAAGTATACAAATCCAATACTGATTTCAACAGTGAACATTTGATAAAGAGCTTTTACATTCTGATCAACTTTTTGTGACTGTGAAAATTGTTTTAGAGGTCAAAAGAAATTAAGTTCACTAGGTTTGTTATTCACAAAAGTAAATCTGTACCTATTCTCTCTCAGAGAATCCTTATCAACCTGATCTCATTACATGCTGTCTCTAAGGGATGTTATATAGTCTGCTACTTAGCTACTATTTCCCTGCTCACAAGGTGTAATGCCACAGGGTAATGATCAGGCCTCAGTCAAGTCATGGCTGTGTATGAATAAGGACAGTGCTATCTCAGTTTGGGGTTGCACCTGCATTTCACCCAGTCCCCCAGGGTGGAACACTGAACTAGGGGCCAGCACACTGAATGTGGTGGTCCAGCTAGTAACTCTACACTCCTTCCATAAACCACGGAATCTATTATTTATCACAAGCTAATTTAGACACCTAAAACAAGACAGTTGTGTTATACTCCACTTATCTTCATGACAATACAGGGAATCCAGAGTGGTGACTTTGAACTGTAGTGATGACAGCTGCAGTCAGTTCCATGGAAATCACCTTTGGAGTTAAAATGCATCTACTTCAGTTCACTGCTACACTGTACAGCATTGAACTCTTAAGCTGGGCCACACTCCCCTCTCTTCTTTTTCTTTTCCCCTGACCTGAGGTCACTTTGCAATGATCTTTCATCTCAGCTGATCTCTTGCTGTCTGACTTTTGAAATTAATATCCTCAGCAAATCATTCGGCTCCTGCAGAGCACATACAACACAATCAGTATAATTACTTCATGTCATACCTCAGTTGTCACTTCACTTTAATGGACTGCAAGTAAGATGAACTTGAAAAATGCTCTAAGTTAATGTTCTTAGAGTTTCTGTTTTAGGCTCTTCTGAGAGATGTTAAGTGGATTCAGAAATAGAGATTTCATCCTAGAAATTATAATCTGTATTACAGCAAAGCGAATAGGGCCAACAGAGTTCTGAGCTCTATGATTCCAGCACTGTTGAAAACACATTCAATGTAGATAGGGAAAGTGTAGGACATGGTGGGACAGATCTAGTAAATGTAGGTGTTTATGATGTAGGAATTTATATATAAAGTAGTCACTCTGACTATGAAAGAGCATCCCATACTTAAGGACCATGGAGCTTGGCATAAAGTCTCCCTACCTTGAACTGGAGGCTGTGGGTGGTGAGATGAGTCTCAGTCTATTTCCTCCTGTCACCTCACTCAGCTTTACAGCAAGGTAAGGTGCCCATCTGCCTCTCACTCTTGCCCATTCAATGCTTCAACGTGTTTGGCTTTTTTAAACACAGTTATTTTACACCAGCTTTTGATGGAGAACTGTGAATTCAACATGCATTCAAAGTATTGCAATCTTCCATTTTAGATCATTCCCTCTGCCATGCAATAATCACACCCTCTCATCCTTTCTTCATAACCTCTCCCCATGATGTATCACACACAAGCATATCCAGAGTGTCTTTAACTTTGTCTATTATTCTTCTGCTCCAATGCCTTAGAGAATATCATAGTCTTTTTTTTTTGATCCAGCCTTGAAACTTTTCCTGAGAGTGTAAAAAACTTTTTTTTTTTAATCTTAAGAGAACCAACTAATTTAAAATCCAGCTAGAGAAGAGTCCTTTTGCTTCTCTTTTATGTCATAATCCAACTTCAGGACATTTACTGAGGCAGCATGCCACCACCAGCCTCAACTCTTTCCTCCCCCAGAGGTGACTCAGGCCCATCATTTCTACCTTCCAGGCAGGAACCCGAGGGTGGGGTTGGTAGCAGCCCGGGGGCAGGAGCTGTGGCCATGCTCTCTAAGAGGGCACACACAGTGGGAGGCTGTAGCCCACTCCTGGGGTCCTGCTTGGGCTTACAAAAGTTTTTGCACAATGCATATTGTTGAAAAGAAACTACCAGTATTAAAGGGGCAGATCACACTGAGGGACCTTTACTGAGCGATTTTACGTTCTTAAAACTCTACACATAATAAAAGAGCAATTTTTGTGCTTACAAAGATTAAAAGCTAAACAAAAAGAACCAATGTCCCTGCAGGGTTGGATTTACACAAGCAGCACTGTGCTTAAAATTCAGTCAGAATATTTTTGCCTTAACAGTCTTTCAAATTACCTAATAAAAGTAATTTCAAATATGAAAGTTATTCCCTTTCTAATGCTTATATAATTTTCCCAGCACATCCAGCACTTCTTCCTCCGATGACAGCAGCAGTATGCGAGCTCCCTGTGCTGTAGAAAACAGACAGCAGCTTAAATTCAGTCCTCACTGGGGTGTCTTTTTTTTTCACTTACATGATAAAATATCTGCTATGCTATATTTAAGAACTAATGCTTTCATTATGGTATCTCCATTAACCAGATGGTTCCATCTATCAGTCTGCAGTGGCCATGAGATCTTAACATTCCTATTTAGTATTAATTTGCTCTGGTGCAGAGACAGGATGACACAGACACTTGATATAGGATGGAAGAGGCAAGCTAAAACTTAACCATGCACCTCAAAACTCAGGCACATTTAGTTACCAGAACATGGGCATACTGGGATCTTTGAGAAGGAGGCAATCTCTCCTTACCTTTTAAAATGCTGATCACTTCCTCAGCCCATTTGTATATTTTTTCAGCTGCTGGCTGGGCTGTGGCTGTGATTCCAGATTCCCTAGCCCACTGCCACGGCTTTTAGCTTCTGGACTTTGGTCATTCTCTTCTTCTGGACTAAGCCAGTGCCCTCATGTTGTAAAACCTTCACATGACATTTTTTACCTAACAGAGGCAAGAGGAAAACGTAACCTGGTCTTGGACCATGTAATTACTCCTGGAAACATTCCTTCTAAAGCCCTTCTAACACCAGTGTCCAAGTGTTCCCCACAGCAGGAGTGCCATCCTGGTGGTAGGTGCTCTGCCCCTAGGAGCATGGTTTGTGCTTGGTGTGATCCAGAGGTACAAACACTGTGGGACAGGGACTCAGTGCACAACCCTCCCACTCTCCTCTTGTCCAGCCGACTTTTTCCCAGACTGCTCCTCTTCTAAATAGAGGATAACAACAAAGCAATGCTTTGTCTAGGGCTCCACTCAGTTATTCTGTACTTGCACCAAGCAGTCTGAATCACCTGGTAGTGCTGCTCTTTCAACATTTGGTTGTTCATAAATATTTGTGATAGCTAAGCTCTATCTAAAACGCTTTCCTCAGCAGAAATCACACTTCTGATTTAGAACCTGCTCTAATTAATTATGGGGACACATTTGCATCTGCATCACTCATATATGCAATTCCAGCTGCTAGCACAGCAAACAAAAGAAACCCTTTGGTTCTGATCATCAGTGAAAGACTCATGCACTATGAGAAAGAGGTAGGATACAAAGATCCAGATCTTTATCTTCAGGCAGAAGCCACTTGATGGTCCATGAGGCCAAATAAAAGCTTTCAGTTCTAAACCTCTGTTCTGTCTCCAATAAAACTTGGCAATTGCAGTTCAGTCCCTAGAGGGCCCTAAAGGATAATAGTCCTCCTCACAAAACAGCTGCATGTACATATTTGACCTGATTTAAGGAGGCAGTCAGCTTCTATTTGGAGAAGTCACAGTAAGCAGCACTGAAGTTCTAGGATTGCCTTCTGCCCAAAAGTAAAAAGTAAATGCTTGGAGGGAAAATTCATTCTCTGAACTTTATCTGTTCGAAATTTATCCACTACAAGCATCTTTGTATGTGACCAAAACCTATACTAAGAAAAAACCCCAACATAAGTGACTAAAATATGCATAGTAATTTATTAGATACACATCTATCAGACATGTACCCCTGGTCACTATTTTGTATAAAAAAACTTTTGCATCTGTTTTTTAAACATTTTCATTAATCGTTGTTTTTGAAGATAGTTGTTTTTAGAGATATTTTTCAAATTTAAGAGCTATTTTCAGAGGAAGATGGTAACAATTGTGTTTACTTGTCCTTTCCATGTTTGATGTTTCTTCAATAAATGATTTTTGAAAGTATTTCAAGTCATTAGAAGTAACAAAATAAGATGGTTAATTGTGTCGCTATTCAAGAACAGAAAAGACTGAAATCACTTGAAGGTACCGTTTAAGCAACAGATATTTACACATGCACCAGTGCCCCAATCCCCTATACTTGTTTTTAAGCACAGCTTGCTTTTTTTCTTGCACAGCTTTAAGGAGCTGTCTACATTTCTACTGTCAGTTGCTAATACTTTTCTAGAGGATTCAGACCAATGCATTTTCTACGCTGCTGCCTCAGGAAACATATTTTTGGTTGTTTAGTCTCAGGAATTCACAAAAGAAAAGCCCACCACAATTATGCCTAATAAGTCTTTATTTCCAAACATAAATTGCAAAAATATTCTATTACAGAACAGGTAACAAGTACAGAATTCTAAGTATGCCTTATAACAGTGAAACCATTGCCTCCTTGACAAAAAAATCATCAGGCACTTAAAACATGAAAACAAAGTACAAATTAAACCAGCTGTAACAGATGACTCAACAGTACAACTTTATCTTGGTTTTCTGTAATAAAAGCACACACACAGCTGAGGGGCTCCTGCCTCCTCCTAAACCCTGCGCAGAGACATTTCTATATTACGCTGCACACATTCTACTCAGACAATATCAAGTTCACATCTGAAAACATAAATAAGTTCAGCACTGAGAGAATTTGAGGAACCTTTTTGGAACAGCAGTAGCAGAGCCTACACTAGCAGCTTTAGAGAGCTTGGTGCATGTGGAGAAGCACAATTATACCAGCTCCACGGGGGAATAAGCTCTGCTTCGACAATTGCATTGGAAAGAATGGAGCTGAAATGAATGCAAACAATACACATTTTAAGAGACAATGAAACGTCTGGGCAAAAGCTATTACATTTTGACACATGGACCAGTCTCTGAAAAGCCACACATTTGCCATCCCTGAGGAGCAGCCCTGTATAGGACCTCTCCATTCACATGTTTTGTCCCTTGCAGATCTTGAACTAAATCAGAAGCAGAGGTTGCCTCTCAGGCCAGTCTTAGAAAGGTAAATCTAAAATGCAAGTGTCCAAAAGACTAATGAAAATACTCCTCCAGAAATCAGTCAAATACCTTTAAAATTATTTTGGCTTCTATAACTCTTGCTTTAGGTGACATTATGTAACTTCCCACACACTTTACACTGGTGGTGGTAAAAAATAAGGATATTTAAAATAATTTTAATTAGGTATTCAAAAGAATATCAAGAATATTAACATAAAAATGCGTATGAAGCCACTATATAAATAGTACATATAAAAATGTATAAATGTCAGCTGTTATACTTCAATGTCACAAGAACTCAAGAATGGATTTGTATTGCAACCACTGACAATAAATACAGCAAGGAGGATGTGTTTTAGGGAAACATCTCACAGCGAAGCTAAGAGCTGAGAAGCCTAGCATGTTGTTGGCCTACAGACTTGCTGTAAAGAATCTCTTCTTGTCAGGGACTAAAGTGAATAGTGAGGAATTTAAACCCAGCAATACTGACAATAGGCTATCCTGTCACAACCATTTGCATGATTCATTCTGATTTGCTCTTGCCTTGAAACCATGATAGGATCATTAAATACTTCCATTATGCCTTGCAGTTTTCTCCCTGTTGGAGAAGAGAGGAATGAAACAAACACAAGACACTGAAGTTTCAGGTGCAGCAACAAATACTGATGTATTGCTTAAGGTAGTCAGGATTTAGCAAAAGATAGACTTAAATGTTTTTTTGATGGCAACGTGAGGATGCCACTCCTTGTATTTCACAGCCAGACTGTTTTCATCCTTAAACCAGTATCTGCCAGCACCTGCCACCCGAGGGCAGTGATGTGAGCTCAATCACCACACATCACAGCACTACACTGACTCCTTGGTCAATGGCAAACTCAACCTGATGTACTCCCACCGTGTTAAGCTCTTGCTGCACTGCTGGAATGTCCACACTGAGAGCACACTGACGGGCTGCTACCCCTGTAGCTGTAACCCAGTAACCCCGGGTCTCTCCCCTGGTGAGCCGTGTTCCCAGAATAGGAAGGTATTCTGAAATGTGCCTTATGAAAGGAGACCATGAAATAACAGCAATAGTCCTTTTGTTTAGTGGCATGCTGCAGAGCGTTTCTGCTCTACTTGATCATAATGATAATTTCGAGCCAATTAAATACTTTATGAAAATCTGGAACAAAGGTTAATAAATATAAATCTGCCCACTTGTTGTATGCTGTGGGTGACAAGCCTTAAGGATTTCCCCAGAGTACCCTGAGAGATTAGCAGCATTTGAAATTTTTCTGTCTAGAAGCTCAGAGAAGGATGATCCTGCCTAGAATGACAGAATTCAAAATAAAGAGAGGCGGGCTACATGCCCCCTTGTCACTGTTGTTGGCTAGCAGACCTAGAGATTAAAGAGATCTACTGCTGAAGTACCACAAGTACGTGGCTCAGAATATTTTAAACTGAGATACGTTTAACGAAAAGGCTCATGTGTAAGAAATCTACTGCTTCAAAGCATGCATCAAGTGGCTATCAGCTATTTGAGATAGAGCTGTTTCAGAATAAAGTACTCCACAGAATATTCCTTGGGTTTGATCTCACAGATTCCTGTACACAGGTGGATGTGTGCTTTGTGGACCTGAGCATCCCTGGAGGAGCTACTGCATGGATATTCAGGACCTCCCTCCACAGATTTGTCACAGGAGAACAAGTGACAGGGCAAAAAAAGATCTCTAGGTCAAATAGATCTAAACCTAGATTGCTGTGTTAGGCTGAAGCTCCACCATGGAGTCTGTGCAGGCTCAAGTTGTACATGCTCAATTAATCCAGAAGAATTAACTGATCCAGGCATTTGCACTGAATAAAATCAACTAATATCTAACAACAGGAATATTTTGCTAGTAATTTACAGATCCACAGAAGATCAGAAGTCACCTAGATAATTTAGTTTCTTTACCTGAGTCACTCAAGACAGAGAATTTCATCTTTTCTCAAAAATGGTGGTATGTCAGTCATCTCATTATTGCACAAAGGAAAGAGAATCAAAGTGAGAGTAACTGGTCTCAACCCCCTCAGGCCTCATTCACTTCTGTTCTCTGCAGATGCTGTTTTAGATGCTGGGATTAGAAGAGGCTGAAAGCAAAGGAGTGCTGAATAACAAGCAAGTTTATGCAAGTTTACCATCAGTGAACTGAGAATTTTTTCTACATCTCATTTTTGAATCTGCTGGTGTCACCAGCTTGTTAAACTGACTGTAATGGGAAAGAGACAAGGGTGAGCAATAATCAGCAGTGTAGGCATCTAGAGTTCTTAGTGTAGATGCCTTAAGCACCTTCTGGCACCATAGGGAGAGATGGGCTCTGGCCCATGGAACAGCTGCCATGCTGCCAATCCCTCTTGCAGTGACCCATCTCTCCCTTCTGAGCAGGCAGACCCTTGGAGATGTTACCTTCTGAACTTGGTCAAGCTTTCAGGAGACCACTGGGTCTGTCCAACAGCTGTCAGATAACAAAAGGCACCTGTTATGTCCCTGCAATGCCACCTGCATGGTCTTACCCCCTCCTTTGCTTTGACTGTGAAATTTCCATCTCTTGGCATGAACCAATTTTCTCATTCTGTTGCCAAGGCAGGGTTTTGCCACCTCAGTGTGCCAAAACAGCTCGGTGTGGGACAGGCCAAGGCCAGACATGGCATGAAGGGAGGGGTGCAGCACAGAACAGGGACTGGACATTGCAGCCATTCCCGCTTGAGTCACCATGGAGCTACAGACCAACTTTAGCACCTCCAGTTAGGCAACGTGAATATTACACCAAGCTGCCTTCCTTGAGGTGTAAACCCAGTCATTTACAGCATATTTCACTATGCTCAAGCACAGCAATGTTTGATTCACAGTCACACAAACTCCCCAACAGACACTAAACAGGCCTGCATAGCACTCCACAGGGTAAAGGCAAATAACCAACTCAAGGCAGCACTGGATCCTGAAGGAAAATGCAACTAGAGATTCAGAGGAGAAAAAGGAATAAAAGCAGCCAGGCAGGCTTTAATCTATTGGTGCTGTGATGCAGTCGTGCAAGGACACTGTCAGCTTCTGCAAAGGTACAGTGGAAATATTAGCACACTGTCAGTGTTTCTATCTTTAGAAAACTATTTAATCTCAATATTCATTCCACAGCATGTGACAGCATTGGAGGCCCACAAACCCTAAAAATGAATATTCCTGATGTGAAATAGAGGGAATTGAAAGGTCCTTACTAACCTTTGGTCAAGAATTCTTAATCCAAATTGATGTTGACTCAGTCTTGCAAAAGTGTCCTAAACACTCCCAGCCAGGTACAAAATACATTTATTATTACTAACCTGGCACAGGTGTAAAATAAATGAGAAATAATGTATTCAGCTACCCAAGAAAACATAATTTCCCACAGTAAGTGTAGTTCAGCAAATCTTGATCAATCTGATGGTACCCTGTTCTGCAAAAATGCCACTATTAACTTGCCCAGGCTGCACCCGAATTAACACAACCCAGCCATCCAGCACACAGCACCAGTAGCTATAATAAAGCTGAGTGCAATGTCTGCCCTCCTGGAGAGTGAAGTGGATGCAACTAATGTCTCATACTGACTTCATGTCTGGAGCAAAGCCTGAGGATCTTAATCTAAGATAATATAGTCTAATTGAGTATATTTTTATTCTATGGAGAGTTAAAAGCATTTGTAGGAAAGGGTAGGAAAGGTCAACAATTCCTTCAAGCAATTCTTATCAGCCTTGTGCTCTACATAAATCACTAAGAGCCTTGAGAGTGTGGAAGATCAGGCCTTCAAGTCATTGGCAAGTTTAAACTTTCTGGAAACAGTGTTAAAAAGTCAGTGCCTGTTCATACTACAGAAATTTCCATTTGCTCTCAATTGTGAGTGCTACATCATATTCCTTCAGTTAAGACCTCTTTTTGTCAAGGAAGCCAGAATAGATTTCCTTTTTGGCTAAACATCTCTTAAAATGTATTCTGATGATCTTTCCAGTTACTAATACATGTGTGTTTCAAGTAATGAAGCTGCATAGAAATAGTTCCGACACACAGTAACTTCAGCTCTTTGTGGTGTGTCACTGTACACTGTTTACATTTATTCATTGAGACAGCACAACATGATACTAACTAACAAATGCTTTTGAAAAAAGTTGCTTCTTCACTGCAAATAAATTTCATTCTCTCCTCTCTCCATCTTCTACCGAGCCAGGTTTTGCCCCTTTACTCAAGCTGAGTAGTTAACTGAATTTAGTCTGTGCAAGGAATGATCTTGCATTATCTCACATAGAGCACTTGCAATTATTCTGGATATAATGTAAGAACCTGAAAAAGATGTATGTATTTTCCCCAAGACAAACTATGAAGCTGCTACACAGCCAAGATCACCTCACTGCTCTACATTAGACTGGAATAAGTTACAGTCCTTACATGAACACAGGTGTGCCTTTGTCTGGATGAAATGCAGCAAGGTTCTCCTCAACCTCAGCTGTTTGCATCACCCAAAGGACAACTACATCTCTTTGCACAGCTTCTATTAAAAACACTCCATATGAGTGAGTTATAGCAGAGAAGATGCTCTTTTGGGAGCAAATTTTTCTTTGATCTATAACTAGGATGTTGCAGTAGGCAATCATCCATAACACTTGTAACATAGGTGCAGGTTCTTTCAGCAGCCAGCTCTCTGCACATGAGCAGCAGATTCCTGTGGTCAGAAAATGGCAAAAATCTCACTGCTGGGGAAGAAAAAAATGAGGATTGTGGTGCTGGAACTGGAACAAATCAGAGTAAATAAAACCCCTGTGCTCCCCTCTTCCAGTTACCAGCTGGTAAATGCAGATGGAGTCATCAGCTCAGTTCTGCTGTCTTTGTTCCTGTTAAAGGCTCTACTGACACTCAGAGGTCCACATGTATATTAGTGGCATCAGTTATTGCCCCAAAGCACTATGTATTTTTTAAAACCCCTTATTTTCAAAAATGAACCTTATTGCTGATATTTGCAGTCAGAATTTATGGACACTTCTGCTCGGGTAAGGGTAATATTGGATTCTGATATCATTATCCTGGAAATGAATCCAGATGCTCAATCAACAGACCTGTAACCATAATGATTGATTCTAATACTTCCAGGAGTGTTTATGTGATTATAAAACTGCTGCAAGGTAGGCTTTCAAATATTACATACAGTAATGCTCTTATGAAGTATACATTTAAAAGGCTTTTCTGAACTTTATTTCATAAGGTCCAATTCAATTAAGTTGAAATTTTGTTCTGCAGATATAATCCTCAAAGAGTGGAATACTGAATGCTCTTTAAATCAGTTGATTTGGGATTTAATGCTGCAGTAGAAAAAGGAATTTTAATAAATAGAATACCTGATAGTATCTGACTGTAAAAGAAGGACACTTTATCTTTGAACTGACCACTCAAAGGACTCTCAAAAGAGTTAGGGAAATTCTTAACAGAATCTAGTTATTAAAAATTTTAAATTTTGTTTGCTTGCTTGGGAGGTTTTTTCTGCAGTAGAACATATAAGCTACAGGCAGTATAAGCTAGGGTACAACTTCTTGTCAAAGGTCCTGTATATGTTAAAGTGGTTCTTTCCACTGGGCTGATTTTTCACTTTCTTTTGCTGCAGGATGTTGTTCCACATGTATTCTTGGACCATATGGAAAACTTAAAGAACTACACAGGCTATAAATTAGGGGAATGTAGTCAGTTTTCTCATATACCCTGGTGTAGAAGAGTTTGGGGTTGATGGTAAGAGGAACATTCTTCTAATAATGCTTAGTGCAGTTTCATTATCTGCAGTCACATATGAATACAAGATATATTACATGAAAAGAAATTGAATTATAGGCTTGGGACCTATCACCTTTCTGATGGAAATTCCATCTCATGTATCAGCCAAGACACAGAGCTGGAAGAGCAAGAATGTATGCAAAGTCATGCCCTACCAGGACTCTGGGGATTGTAGTGCAGAACCAGGTTCATGGTCCTCATTCAGGGCTGAACTGGACTTTAGGCAGGAACACAAGCAAGTAGAGTGGTTTATAAATAATTGTAAAGCTCCAGTCCTTCATACACTTGTTCTCAGAATTAACATCACTCATATGAGTGATCCCATTAAATCCACAGCATCATCTACTGCTCACAAAATGAAAGCCCATTAAATCCACAGCACTACTTATGCCCACAAAACGAAAGCCCATAAACCACTTAACTACCTCTGACCTGAGGGATTTTCTCATCTGTGCACCCCGGGACAAACTAAGACTGACATGGCTCTGAATTAATTACTCCTCTGCAGCTCTTCTCATCACTTCTCTCATGCAGACAAATGCCAGTATTTACAGGATGAAGTTCTTAATTGAAAACGTTCACTGCCAATTCATGCAGAGACTATTGCCTATAATATGTGATATCAACAAAACCAGAGATTTTATGTCAAAATATTTTAATGGTCCTCTAAGAAACAAAACATGATGAATGTCACATATTGCCACCATCCTGAGATTGTGCTTTGCTACCATTAGACCAGCAGAAAGGAGTTTCAGAATTTTCCACATAATTGTTACTTTGTATTTTAAAAAATGATCACTCAAAATTTGTAAATGTAGCAGTCACTGTGTGAAAAAATCACTCTCTTTTCTCCCCAAGTGCAAAATATTTCTCTACTGTAATAATGCAGTTTAATGCTCACAAAATCAAATCAGATCAAATCCAACACCGAACTGCTGAGATACACACAAATTGTCTCCTTAGGATCATCACCCTGAAATTAAAACAATAAAATATGTTATTGATATTTCTTGTATAGTAGAAAAACTGCTTGTTATTCTTGAAATAAACCAATAGTTTAGTCTTCTGTGTATGCATTGCACTTTCTGCATCAGCTTTTCATCTGCATTTCAGGCTGTGAGTCTGTGAGATCTATTTTACAGAATCACGGGCTCTCAGAATTCTCCTGGCTAAGCTGGAATGCTCGTGCCTGGTCTAACTGGAGCACCTGCTCTTTCTAAAGGAGGACTTCTTCATTTGAACACCCTCAGAACTGCTCATGCTTACCCCACCTGCTCTACACTCTTTGGGATTCCTAAGCTAACCAAGGCTAGGTCTAGCCAGTATCTTCATGGGGCACATCCATTTCGAATTTGAATATGGATATGTTCTAAATTATATTATCTTACTCATATTTTGAAATCGCCAGAGATTGCAATTATTCTGTTTCTTCAACAAGATAGTTGTGCTGTGGAAAACCAAAACAAAACCCTTCCAAATATGTAAATACTTCTTCATTTGAACTGAAATCTTAACATAAATTCTAATTTGATTTAATCTATACTTTTCTATTCTGGTAGGTTTTCATTAAACCAGAAACAATTTATCTCCACTTATTTCATTACTGACATTATTCTTAACATGTAAATTTAATTCATTGAATGCATGAGCAAAGTGTGCACTTAAAAGCTGTACTGCAGGGGTTCTAAGTCAAAAAACCTTTCTTTCAATATCTAATAATTTCACATTGGACAATATTTGCCCAAGTCAAGAATAGTCTGCAATTTGGCTGCCTGACAGGAATCCAGAGGTGTCCTTATTTCAAAATGTGGTATCATTTTGCTCAAGGTAATTAAAAGTGAACAGTGGGTTAGTTCTTATTTCTCTAGCTACACTGGGACACCACAAGCATAAAAGAATTCCAACAGAATTTAAGCTCATATTGGCATTCTACAGTTATAAATAGGTTATGTGTAACCGTATTTATCATTTACTTGGATTGCAGCAAATTTCAAGATTAAAAAAATATCACATGCTGACAGAACTTGGAAAAAATTATTCTTTTTGATGTTAGTTCCTGAGAAAATAAGCAGGTATCCCCCTGCTTGTCAGGATTCTGCTCTGGCAGCTCCACCTTGAGTGGAGGGAGTCACTGCTGCTGTCTGTCAGAAATAGATCACATTTAATCCTTTGCTTGGAGTTAAAAAACTCATACCTACTTTTTACTTTCCAGGTGAGATACACAGTGGACAGTTTAGCAGATCTTACTTCCTAACCACCAGCACACCTCTGCTCAAGTTCTCCTCCTTCAGTCCTTCTGCTCAGACAATTGAGCACTATTTTCTTCCCCAGGTTCAGAGTCTCAGTTTCATTCTTCCTTTCTGTGTTTTTTTTTGTGTTGACTGACTCCTCTGAGCAGATGCTTAATGTGACTGTTTTGTATGTCAAAGCAACACATACTCATCTGCCCTGCTGTCTTTTCCTAGCAAACAGAAAACCTGATGGATTCTGGGTCAGAAAAAATTTGCATTTTAACCAGGCTTCTGGGCAGTCAAATTTATGCCAGTCTGATTAATTTATCATCTGAAAATTTTTCTAATCAGACTTTTTTTTCTATTTTTAAATATGAATCATTTACCCTCCTTGAACCTACGTTTACTTGAAGCTAATGACATGCCCTTCAGGCTTATCAGGTTAAACCAATGAACAAATAAGACTTCCTTCAGCTGCAAAGCCATAGCAAAAATGATTTGGTAATCTAACACAAAATAATAAAGATAATGAACTATATTTCAAGATTTTGCTGTTGCTGCATTTCCTGTTTGACCTTCTGTGATAGGTGGGCACCAACTTTAGTGAAAACCTGTACATGTCTGTTGAACATAATCATAAAGGTACAGGAGAGGATATTAAGGCAAGATTCCCCACATTGTGGGACTCTACGGGGCTCTCATATCTGACAATTCTCTCTATCCAATAAGAAAAATTCACCTTTCCAATGGCAAGGATGGTGTTTAGGAGCAAAATTGCCAAAAATGATTCATTGAGATGCAATTATACTGTCCCTATGGGTGCTCCCAGCAGAGAAGCTTCCTTCACTTCTCATTTACAGCAGCAAACTTTTGTGTCCAGTAATGTATGTAGGAGATTCTGCCTGAGCCTTCTGTGGGCACCCACAGGTGTAAGGAACCTCCAGGTACCCACTAAGAGGGAAGAACACAGAGCATGGAGAAGAACATAAAATGGAAATTGGAAAAAGAAAGGAGATTGTTCAATTTTTACAAAAGGTCATCTCCAATAAAATATACTCACTATAGAATTTCACTTATCTGTAATAGTTGATAATACTAGCAGAATGGTAGGTCATACTGAAAGCATTTCTTTGGTTTTCTCTTTTTAAATATAGGTGTAAATTAGGGCAGCACAACTTATTCTTCTAGTGTATATTTTTTCTTTACAGCTTATTTGGAAAATTTGGCCACAAGTGATTTTCAGTCTGTCAAGCATGGACAGCATTTAATTAACACATTCAGATACTTAAATATTTTTGTGGCTTCTATCTGCTTCTCTCTAGAGTAAATATTTCTAAGGAGCTGCCTTTCATTTTCTTAGCTCGTGTAGTTACTACAATTAAAATTACACAGTATGTCTCCAATGATTTATATTATAGGAATAACAAATACAATGGAAACTGCTGCATATAAACAGCTTAGCCACTAAAAAATAAAACATTATGTATTTCTTAACCTTTCCAATAAGCTGCAAACTTTTACAAGCAAAAAAAGCATACCTTAGTCACATGAAACTGCATAAATATACAATTCAACTCCTCCTAGGTAATCTCCTGCCATGGACTAGGAGAATGGATTCACTATATGGATTCTAGGTCCCTTCTCACAGGTTTTATATTATTCTAATAATCTGAAAGCCATTAATTTTTCTATTTCTTAAAACTCCCCTTGAAACAGAATAAAATTGTGCCTTCCTGGTACTAACAATATGCTATTTTAAAACAGCATTCTCTGATGATATGCTAAGTGTGAATGTATCTTTGACAACATGTTTTCTAAATATCAACAAAGGATATTTTCAAATACATTTCAGAACCTAGCCAGAAGAAAAGTGCCCTTAGCTTTTAAGCTTGTAATTTCTGGCTTGAACAAGATGATGCTATTTATTTAACTTGAGTAATACAGTCATGAGATTACATCAGTCCAATTAAAGTACATAGTATACAATGACAGTTCTACTGTACACTTCACTTACTATTATATTTACTTGAACCCCCTGGAAAAATAGAGTTCTTTGAAAGGAGACTCTGACAACAGTATTATGAACTCAGGAATTTCTGAGCTGGCTTAAAAGATGAAGAAGTATTTCTACAAATTGGTCTTACTTTGTCAACAGGGCAAATCAAGATTGAAAACATGCAGACAAATCTTTTCAGTCATCTCTAGTGTGTACACAGCAAATTGGCTCAAGGTCAGAGGCCAGAGTGTGCTGCATTTCTCTGAGGCAATACACAGAAGGTATAGGTCCAAGGGGTTGGGCCAGAAAGAACAGAGGAAAAGGAATGACACTTCATCCTATATTTGTAACTCCCAGATTCTGAGCTACCTCGAGGTGAAATGCTCAGCAAGATGTACTGTAGTGTATGGCAGCTCCCTCACTGCTCGAATCTTTACCTAGCAAGAGGCAACCAGGCTATAGATGCAGGCTTGCCCTTCGTGGAACAACCCTCATTCTTACTCTGCTCTCTGCACACACCTGGAAAGGCTGTGCCAGGATTAGGTGTCTCCTTCTGGACATCACAATGTGTGAATGCCTTAAATAAAGCAATTCTTAAAGGAGGCTGATACCAAACCAAACATAAGCTGGCAGAGACATGTATCTGAGATAAGGAGACACTTCTGATTGACTATGGTTTATGGGGATAATTTGTACTTAGCTATGCTCACCATCTAATATTCACAATTAGAAAACATTTCTCAACTCTGTGATACATATTTATTCATAAAGATCCAGGCTTTTATTTATTTAGGAATACAATTTTCATTGAGTGTAAGTTAGAAATGTCTCTCTAACTGACTGTAAAACACTGTAAAACAAGTTTTCCCTTGGCACATTAGTGAATTAAAGACATTTCATGTGGTAAGAATGGGACCTACCTTTTTAGTCTGATTCACATTTACCAAATTGTAACTTCAAAATGCCTTTGCCATGAAGCTGAAGGATCTGGTTGTATTCTTTGGGCATTGCATGGAAACCAGGCTTAGGCAGCTGGTTATCGTAATAGTGGTGGCTGATTGGCATCTTCTCTGTGGATTTTGAGAAAGGCCAGAAGCCATAGAGCTTCACATTCTCACACAGCTCAAGGGCAGCACTAGTGATCATAAAACCAGATGACAACCGGTAGGCTTTCACACCCTTAGTTCTCCAGAACTGGGCAAGACTTCTCAGATAAGTGGGGTGAAAAAATATTGCCCTTTGGGTAGCTTTGAACTCTTTCAGAGTGTGGTATACTTTAAAAGAAGTAGCTGTGTTGCTTCTGAAGGAAAATGCTGGCAGTAAAAGGAAAGCATCTCCATAGACCGCAATGTTTTCCAGAAATTCTGTCTTCTTTTCATTTAGCTTGTTGTATCTGCAAAGTACAAAATTTTAGGAACGAAATGCAGTATTGATACAATCATTACAGACTGGAACAGCACAACTGCACTTTCAAAGATGCATTATGAACTCTGCTGCAGCAGTTCAGCTTGTCTACACTGCAAATTTATATCATCCTATTATGAGTTGTCATATGTGCAGCTACGGAAATCTGACTGTTGTATAATAAGAACACACTATATAGGATTGAACTGGTAACAAAGGAGATACTGAAGCAGATCAAATTCACTGCTAATGAGACTAGGACATGTTTACAGAACTCATGAATCAAAGAAATTAAGAAGAATGCAAAAAATATATTGTGCTCATACTTTATTTAAAAATACACACACTACAATATATACTGTATGTGTTTTTGAAATGTGTTTCTTACATCAACAGATATACAAAAATCTCTCTTCAAAATCTCTGTGTCTGCCCTGTGTGGAAATCCAAGGATGCATGTGAGCAGACTTGGAGTGTTAAAGATTAGTGTGTGCTCAAGTGCAGGATATACTTTTAAAATAGCTAAAAATATAGGCATCCCTGTTTATCTCCTTCAACTACAAAGGGAACACATGGATATCTGTAACAACTTAGAGCTCTAACTTCACAAATGGAGAGGATTTATTCTCAGATGCTTTCAGTCCCCAACAAAGAGCAAAGAGACTTAGTTCTCACCACTGCATAATTCTGTGCTCCCAAATACTGACTAGTGAAATTCCCAAGTTATCTTAGAAGTGAGGCAAGCAAGGGGGTCACTCAACTCATGTCCCCTATAGATCCGACTTTTCTGAATCACCTAAACATATGGAGCTTCCAGCCTATTTGGGACTCAAAGCACTGAGGCCTCCTTTGCAGGTAGTTGTCTATTTGAGCAGTGTATTTTCACCTTTTAAAGGCTATCAGAGTGCACGTTTTATAAATGGCTCCAGCAGAAGCTGGAAAAACTGGTTTAATTTCTCTTCACAAATTGAGTACATTCAAAGCCTCTTTTCATGCAGCACTTCAAGACAGAGGACAGCAGCCGCTGCCATTTCCATTCAAAACATCCATGGAAGGGTTACCTCTTGCACAATTAAATTAGTGCAAGGAGTGATATGCCCCTTCTCAATCTGAAGGGGTTTAAACTTACAGCTTCTGCTTCCCAGAAAAGTGCCATTACTACCAAACTCTGAAACAAAATGAATGAGAGAGACTCAGGCCCTGCTATTGACTCTGAACCTCTGTGCATGCAAGAGTCACATAGCCAAAACAAGCAAGAAGTGCCTGAGCCTATGTCTAGGATAAGTGGATGAAAGGTGAATTTCTGGCCTCCACTACAAGAATTTTCTCTGGTTTTACTCAGTGTAAAGGACTGAGCCTCCAGACAGAATTCAAATCTGCATTCTTCCTTAGCTAGAAACCTGGACAACTCAACACTGTCTCGATCTCCTTTCCAGCTCTACCACTATAACAAGTGTAGCCCAGTTCAATTAGGACACATAAGAAATGTGCTTTTCTCCAAGAGAGTTCACCTACATTTCACACCCTGACAAACACAGTTCAGAAGCTGATTAACCTTAACAAAACTATCAGACTAAGCCAGTATGCAAATAAAGAATTAGAAATTACAGGAAATAATGTCAGTATAGGTCTTCTGAGAGAAGAAACAAATTTGGTTCTGCTAAATGGTATCAAGTTGTTTCCTGCTTCTTCTTCAAAAGCATTTACAGTTCTTTCTGAATATTTAAATAAATTTTTTTAAAATTCATAAAGTCCTCTTATACTCTCACTCAATCCTCCCACCGGTTTATCTCCCATTTCCTTCAGTGTAACTCCTATTAACCCTAGTGTGACTTGATTTGCTTAACAAATGAGTGCAGCTGTGGCAGAACACTTCGAATAAGCCCAGAAAAATTGTGGATCAGGTCAGACATCACCAGGGATGCTGAGTCATTGGACAATTTCCCTTCCTCTTATCATTGTGCAGCCCCACTAACATCAATGAACTAAATCTAATTTTGGAGAAGAATAATTCATCTTGATTAAAGTCAAAAAAGGGTTGGGTAAGCATTAACATAGTTAGTACTCATTGCAAAAAATGAAGTTTTATCCCTGAATCAATGAAGAAATTCCTGTTAGTAATTTCTATATACTCACTGTAGTTTTTCCTTTCAAGGAGGAAAAAAAAAAGCTTTGCCTTATGTTGTTTTTTTGACAATACAGTTATGACAGACAAGAAGATACAGTGAGATTAGCTAGCAATAAATAACATGGCACAGCAGTCCTTTTCATAGATAAGCTTCAGTTCCAGCCTGCTGAAGATGTCAGATTAGTCAGGCTGGCCTTATTAGATTTTCTTTTCATCAAGAACGTGAAAAAAACCCCACCTCTGCTAAGAAAAAAAGTGTGTGAGCAAGCAGCTTTCATATGGATTGAAGAAATGGATTACAGAAACTGGGCCTCCATTCAGGAAATAGCCTTCATCAGAACAGCCACTAAGCACATCACCTAAGAACATGTGCTCACAGTGCTGCTGATAGAGTCAGACACACATTTCCAGGCTTTCCTGATTTATGATTACAATTCCTTTCTAAATGCTTGGGGTCTTAAGGGTCATGGAGGGAAAAGAAGAGGCTTGGGCTTACAATCTCCAATTTTACTCTGCCATAAATTGTTGACTAGTATCAGCCAAGGCTCTTGCTAATCTGGGTATTGCTGACTCCTTTATGATACAAAAAAGGCCAGGTTTAGAAGATTTCCATTTAGACTAGTACATATTTTACATGGAAACTAAGGCTTAATGAGGTAATCTGCATGCACTGCTCTCCATGCATGGATTTCCATGAAAATCTAAATCATGACAAACAATTATATACCACTGCACAGAAACAGATTTGCAGGAGTACTCACTTCTGAGCTATGATACTCGGATTAACAGTCACCAGGTTTGTTTTATTGCCAACATCTTTGCTAATGTTTCCTGTGGTTGGAGGGAGGTTACACCTGAAATTAAGAAACATTTGCTTAAACAGATGTGCACCATAAATGCTTTACAGTTATTATTTGCAAATTCCTCTCCTGTGCAATGACACTTTCACGTCAGCTCTCAGGGATGTCTACGCACTTTACAAATATTAAATAAGGCTTACAGCACTTCTAGTAAAGATATTTAATCTACTGTACAGATGGTTAAAATAGGGCACAGTGAGCTCATTTTCATAAATCCTATCACAAACCAGGAGCACAGTCAAAATCCCAGGAGGAACCAGCCTATGAATGCCCTATGCTAGCTGCTAAACAATGCATTTCTGCTCAAAGTCTTCTCCTATGTCTTGTAACAACAGCATAACTTGCCCTATTGCAGAAACCATGATTTCTGTAAAATGTAAAGAAAGCATATTTTAAAATTCAGTCACTTAGTAAGTTTAGCATCTTAGTAGAGAGACTTCCCATTTTTATTAAAGCAGTTATCTAACTGGAAAGATTTTTTTTTTTTTAAGATTTTCAACAGTCCAAATATTAGGAAATAAGTAAGAAAAGGAAACAAAATCCAGCATGCTGTGTGATTAGACATCACTGAGAAAAGAAACTTTCCTCTGTTACTGTGTTTCTTTGCATGAACTACAGACTGTGAGTCACATACTGGAAGACTAGACAAAATTACACTCAGGGTACACCTGGTTTTCTCCCAGTCTATCCAGGGAAATTAAAAACACTACTTAAATAGATGCTTTATTTTTTAAATGAGTAATAGATGAAACAAATATCGGGGCAATTAAGTAGCTACATAGGTGAGCCAAACTATGGCTAAGTAAACGCCTTATAAACCAAATACACATGTGACATTTAATACCAGCCTCCGAAAGGATCTTAAATGACCAGAAATGTCAGGTTCTCAGATAATCACATTTCACAACACTGCAAGGTGACTTAGCAATGACAGATCACACATGCATCATCCAGCCTACTCTTTAAATTAGAAAGCAGCATTTTGAAAACTACAAAGCAGAAGTATCTTTAAAGAGGCAGAAATAAAGAATTGTCAAGATCTTCCTCATAGCTACATTGCTACTGGCATTGGCACACTTCCAATCCTCCCAAGTTTTCAGAATGTTGGATGCACTTCAGGAAGATGAAGCAGCTCTCACCTGAACACAAAGTCAGAACTATCGATTTCAGCTCCACAGCTGGAATTTTTCAGAATGCCTCCATTTCCAACCACAGCACAGTTCTTGAAGGGATAGACTGAAAGAGGAGAGGACTGCAAACAAATAAAAAGATGCAGCCAATTCTTTATAAGTTTCTTTGTGTCTATTTTCTCTTGCAGGTTTAAGCTGGTAAAAGCATTCATCATTCAGCAGACAGGATTGCCAAACCTGGACAGCCAAGAGCCAAAAATAGGCACCAACAGACAGAGAACTGTTACCTCTGCTATCAGAGCTTTGGGAGAATAAAACTGGATTGTTAAAACTGAGTAACTTTTAAATACACTTAACACTAAAACTATGTAGTAGTGGATTGAAACCTTCACAAGCTAAGGAACTAATTTATACTGAAGATAGTTTAAATTTACCCATTTCCCTTTGCACTGTAACAGTCTGGGAGTTGTCATATAGTAATTTAATTTCTCTCCTGACAAAAGGTAACTTTGTAAATTCTCCTCACTTTTGTCATCACACAATTACATTTGAAGCAGAATAACAAATTTAGAGGAACCTGAAGATTCTGTAAAGGTTAATGATGTGCCCTGGCTTAACTCTTTGTGAATGTGAGGCCTCACTGAAGGGGTTACTGCTTCTGGCTCTTTATAATCTTTGCTCTTCTTCTTGTTACAGCTTGCTGTCTCGCACTGGGGAAGCTGAGTGGGACCTAAGTGCATCCACCTGAGAACCAGCACAGTTCACAGTCTAGAAAATTAATGTAAAATGTTGGCTATTTAGGTTGATGTTAATATAGTTGGCTGTTATCCCAGTCTCAAAAACTTCCCGTGCATCTTGCTCAACCTCTTCTGTGAAAGCACTGACATTCACCAGAGCCCAAGAGCTGGGATACTTTGACTGCAGAAATTAAACCCAGCTGTAAAAATGACTCAAAACTTGCTTATGGAAAGCATTATCCTTCTTTCTTCTCTCATCAGCTTGCCCAAAGAAAAGCAAGAAGGAACACTGTTATGAACAGCGCAAAAACTGTGGGGAAAGTGGCAAACATCATATTGCTTGGCAATATATTACAAAACAACATGTTCCAATATTTTGTTCAATTCTGAAAGGATGGGAGGAGAACACAAAGGACAGGCAATTCTGGCTAACTTAGCATGTATATGTGCACATAAAACATACTACCTTTTTCATTTCTCCAGCTTAAATTTGGAATCACTATATCCTCTATTGCAATGAAGCCAGTAAAGACTGATTCACAGCAGTGTTAGGAAGAACTAGACTCATGGTAGCTGAGATCTCACAAATCAAGAATGACAGAGATGGGTAAGAGGGCTCCCATGTGCTCTTAGCTTCAAGAAACCAAACACAAACTCTTTTGTCTAGTCTCGAGGTCTTGTATGTCTGCTGTAATCCTGAGGTAGAACATCTGATTCCTTTTCTCAACCTGTGTTTCTGGCTGCAAACACACTGCCCCAGTGGGTAACAAAGCTAATGAAAGGGCTGGAAGGAATGCCCTATGAAGAATTGCTAAGGACTTTGGACTTGTATAGTTTGGAGAAAAGAACAGGTAATCTCATTGCTCCCTGAGGAAGGGAAGGGCAGAGGAAGGTGCTGATCTCTTCTCTGTTGTATCCAATGACAGGACACATCAGAATGGTTCCAAGCTGCACCAGGGGAGGTTTAGACTGGACATTAAGAAGCATTTCCTTACCAAGAGGATGATAAATTGCTGGAACAGGCTTCCTAGAGAGATGGTTGATGTCCTCAGCTGTCAGTGTTTAAGAGGCTTTTAGACCATGTCCTTAATAACTTGCTTTGACTTGGTCAGCCCTGAATTGATCAGGCAGTTGGACTATGTGATCATTGTGGGTCTCTTCCAACTGAAATTTCTCTGTTCTACTCTATTATGTTCTATGCTATTCTATATCAGGTTCACCACCAAAATATCTTTCGTAACTTACACGCCCAAGCCTGCATTGGAAATGGCATGGGCATATGAAGAATATGAAATGCTCTTCCAGAAATGCCTTTAAAAACAGAAATGATAAAAGCAAGGTAAATTTTCTCAGAGTATTTGCTCCAGAATTCAATTGGCTGCCAAGCCAGGCACTACTTGTGTTCTGTAGCAACTCTACCTCCAATCTATGATCTATGATATCTGTAAACGCCTCTACCAGTGCAGAGGAAGGCTAAAAACAAAAAAACCCAAACAAAAACAAACCAACAAACAAACAAACAAACAAAAACCAAACCAAAACAACACCAAAAAAAACACCTTGCAAGGAGAATAAAAGAGTGCATAAGCGCATACAGGGACTGACAATCTCTTCCAGAGGAATCACTATATCTCAATTACTAACCCAAATATATATACTGTGATTATAATAACAAGAAAGATACAGTTCTTACCACAGGAAGCATCTTAAAAATGTCCTCTGTAATGAGGATAGTCTTTTTACTGTCCACTTCATAACTCATGTTACTTCCCAGTGGGCTGTTGCTTTGAGAAGCAATAAAATTGTGAACTGCATCACAGCAGGAAGCTAATTCTGACCTGCAAAAAACACAAACAAAATCTGCTCCAAGACATGCAAATAAGTGGAAAAGCAATGCTAGAGAACCAGATCAATGAACACCAGCTTGAATTAACTAGCAGCAAAAGGCTATATTAACCTTCTATGATGTCATTTCTTTGACTTGCTTTTCTAAGCAAGTCGATTTTCACAGCAAATGTTCAGAAACTAATCAGACCAAGAAATGATAACTGTTTTTATCTGTTGGTCTCTGTTCCCCACTGAGAAAAAGTTATAATCAATCTCCTCAATATTATTAATTGCTAAGATTAATATAGAAACACTGAGGGACTTCAGTCCCCAAAGAATTAAAAATGTGATTTTCACCAACATAGAACAAGTAATTGTGAGAAACTAGAAGGCTGAAGAAGGGGGGAAAAAAAAAGGAAATAAAAGAGATTGAGATGGAAGCTACTGTCAGTGGTGCTTAGTGAACATCTAGATGGTTGCAAGCCAATTAATTAATAATTAATTTCTCCAACTGTTCATCACAATTTTCCTGTGCACAGTGCCTCAGATGTTAAATAAATTACATCACAGCTTGCACATAAAGAAGTCAGATACCTAAATGCCAGACAGATAGCCTACCTGCTCCCCCAAACACCTAGCAGAAGTCCTTAAATAAATAAAAATGCAAGGGATTCACTACTCAAATCTTTTGTGGGAGTGAAGACTATCACTTATCTTACAATTCCTGTTACCTCCAAACTGATAAAAATATTATGTGTGTGAACATTCTACATTATTAACAGTGAAATGAAACAAAATGAAACGAAATGAAAATCCCCATCAAACCTTTGAAATCAGTCCCAAAACACTGTAATTCATTTTGCTTTGGGCAACAGCGTTCTCTCTGCTGCCACGGGATCTGATTTTTTCAGGCTGTAAGGCTGAAATATTCATGGCCAGGCATTCTGTATCAATTGCTAGGAAACAGATTTCTCATTAGGTGAGATACTAAGAGAACTACTAACAATTCAGAGAAGAAAATACATTTATAACAGAATCGCCCAGAATTTTGAAAATACCACACTGAAGGTTAATTGAGAAGAAAAAGAAAATTCTCATTAGAGCCAAAGGAATAGAAAAGCTTTATTCCATACTGTTTCAATGTCTAAAGTAAAACAAACTGTTGAAACTAGTTAAATATTAGAAGCCAAATTCTGCTTGAAAGCGAGCTGACTTTAATGGGGTAAGACACAGCTTTGAAAGCGAGCTGACTTTAATGGGGTAAGACACAGCTAAGAGAAGTTGTTTCATTTTACTTTATAAACAATGTAGACAGAGAAAATACAAGAATAACAGTAATATCTTTTTTAAAATAATATTTATTAAATATATATTATAAAAATATTATTTAAAAATAAAAACTTAATGTTTCTGATTGAACTGAAGCATAGTCCAGCAAATAGAAGAACACAAACATTGTTTCCTGAAAGACAGGGAAGAGAATGACCATATCTGGGATATCTCTCAATCTCACTTCTCTGGAATAGTTGGTCAAAATGAGGGAGAAAAAAAACTTGGGAAGGTTGGTTTGTTTCATACATAAAATACAAAAGGAGACAAAAAAAGAAAAGAGCACCATTTCATTTGCCAGATGACTTACTGGTATATATTAACCTGTTTTGAACACTGAGTTCCAAAACTCCTCCAAGGCAAAGTTTTCAGATATATGAGAAACACTGGGAAAGACTGAGTGCTGGGATGGCACAGATCTGAAATAACCACAGCAGAGTAACAAGGAAGTGTCACTCCTGAGAGAGGAACCAGTAGGGCTCAGATTTCCATAAGCTGCATTTGACTCCACTCCCTAAACACGGTGATTCCCAATGGCCTGCTCAAAACTTGAAGGGGCAGGGAAGATCTGTGGCCAATGAAAACCACTAGGTCCAAGGCTGTGGGTGGAACTATGCTCTGGGGTCAGGAGATACCCACATGGTGAAAACATTTGCTCTGTGCATATGTAGTATCCTATTCTAAATATATGGCAAAGTAAAAAGGATGCAGTAAGGCAGCAGGGTGAAATTATGATGTCTGGGAACACTGGATGTTATTGAACCAGTGTTATTGTTTTTGACTGGAGCACACTTGCTTTTCTTTTTTGTCACCTTTTGCTATAACCAGCTTTTTCCACTCTTAAAAAATACTGTAGCAATAAGAGGATTCAGATCTCACAGTCAGGTCCTAAGGGCACCACCAAGCCTCACTACTATCCAGCACCCTGGGGCTGTCCCTGTCCTGTCTAGGGTCCAAGACCCCACTTCAGTCTTCCAGAGTCATCAGTCACTGCCCCAGGAACACCATAGCAGGGCCAGTCTGCAGTTGTGTCCATCCTGTTGCCAGGGAGGTGCTCATGTCTGGGCTAGGGCTGCCCCATTCCTGGCTAGGGGTGGGATGAGCCCAGCTACTAGTTTCTGCTCTGCTGGCCAGGTTACTGTGCTGGAATCCCACACCCTGTCCCTCTGCTCCCTGGCACTCACATGGAAATGAGGAATCACATAACCCTTAATGTTGATTTCCTTGTTTATTTTCTTGAAGCTAAATGAAGCAGACCTAAACATAATGTGTCAACCACTGGACATTCAGAGGAGAAGGAATAATGCCAGAATATTCCTGCCAACTTTAGTAAAACGGCTCTTTTGTGTGTGATGGCTACCAGACCCTGAAAAGGCAAACTGATAACAGATCCCATTCATTAATAGAGATGACATGTTCTTGCTTTTTATAAAAGCAGAAACAGTGTGGAAGAAAAACAGATATCATAATTAATAAGAAAGTAATAGTTTAAATTAATATTATGGATTCACTGAGGAAGTAAAACAGAGCCAAGCTAGTCCAGCAACACAGTAAGAACAAGAGAATGCATACTGAGTAATGACAAATATTCTTAGAGCATCCATGCTTAAAATTTGGTAGTAACAATAGAAACATTTTACTTAGATCAAATCATGACACAGAATCCCACTGTGCTCAAGTGGCAATGCGTGTAACCTGCAGACAGCATTACCCACGGCAGTGTATTGAGCAATCTGTACACACAGGATTTTGTACAAGCTGTGAATCGTGGTAATCTACAACTGAGAGCAAACGATGAGGAAGGAATAGAGACTGGGCAGTTCAAGCAATCTATTACTGCAGTCTCATCAGAGTATTAATGTCATTCATATGTGGTTTGTCAGGAGGTGACAACTCACTGAAGAGCATTTACTTCATAAGATTATCACGTATCCTACAAGGGCTCTACGTGAAGAGTTGTAAAACCAAGACATTTTAACTCGTATTATGACACCTGGGGAGAGGGAAACTTAAGATGGTGGGATAAGAAAAAAGGGTCAAAATTGGAACAGCACCAAACAGTAGTAACATTTTTTTTTTTAGGACTAGAAAGTGATTCACATTGTTCTGACTGGGAGAAAACCCCGAGATATGGAAGCAGCTCTTGGAAGACAGGATGTTGCAATACAGGCTGAGCATCCATCTCATGCCTTTCAGAATATAGAATATGAATGTAGCTTACAGTAAAAAGGTTTAAATTCCAGCTTTTATCAGAGACTGCAGGGTTGCCCTAGAACAAAGGGTGTTTATGATCCAGTCATAGCATGACAAGTCCAGACCAAAGGTGATGCTTGAGTCAAAGTACCCAAGTTTTGTAGGGCAGTAGTTTTGGAAAATATCTCCTCTGTAGCAGAGGTTATTACTGAAGTTTCTTATTTGGAGAAGCCTTTTCCTCCAACATTTCTCCTGCAGGGATTTGGAAGCTGAGTGATATCTAAGAGGTTTTTTTTAATCCTGAGGCATAACTCCAAACACGGATATTTCTTACGCCAAGATAAGCAGAAAGGGATTTGACTGCATTATCTAGAACAGTCACTTGTAATAAGTGAGGAAAAAAGTCAGAACCTGGAAAAAGACGACACCATTTTGACTGGTAATACAACCAGTCATAGGACTGAGTAAGTACAGTCATGATAATCTTAGTCAATAATCTAAGCAGAGGGGTGTGCTGCATTTGTCTGGGAAGTTTTGATCACATTAGACAACACAGAGTCATACACAATTGCACTAAAGAATGGTTTTTGTTGCTCAGCATACACTTTCACTGAATTTTTTCCTTTGTGGCTGAAGAGTGCAAGACCCATGTTTGCATTGCTGTCCAGCTGATGCTGATATGGCATCCAAATAATTTCTTCAGGCTCATGGCCATTGAGACCTTACAAAGAAAAAAAAAAAAATCCTTTCTTGAAGGTTTCTTGAAGCAAATTACTAAAATTGTTTTGGTTTGTGAGACAAGCCAAATAATGTTATTTTCCAACTGCTATGCAGATTTTCCATGCTGAACTGTTGGCAGTAACAGAGGGCTGTTGCTTTGATTACACGTTTCCAAACTTTTCTGCATAACAAACACTCCATATGGATAGTCCACTGTGTTTAGTGGAATACACATGCTCTAAATATGCTGATACAATTTCTTTGCAGCTCCTGCAGTTGCTCTGTAGCTAAGATAGCAACAAACTTAGCTACCTTAGTTCTGTGCTAGTATGAATATATTCATTTTAGCTGATTTGGGCCTGCTGACAAGTCACAGTGTGCACACATCCTGAAGATACTGCAAACATCCCAACATCTTCAACAACTCAGTGTGGACCAATCACAAGGGCTAAAATAATCAATGGTTAGCCAAGGGTTAGCAGACTCTCAGCTGGTTCAAAAGTCAGCACTGGTGATATGAGTTACTCTTGAGTGATATTGGAAGAACCGATAATGAGTATGAAATTTGTCTTTATGTAAAAAACTTCTGCAGAGTTTAAAAATTTCCCATTCCACCGAATTTTTTCCATTGAAAATGCTTCAGTATGACACCAGTGCCTGTGGATGTGTGGCCTGAAGGTATTTGTCATTGCTGAGAACAGTGTGAAATATTTCACTATTGTTATGTATTGGACTAAACTGGAGTGGGAGGAGGAGAAAAATGGATGGA